TGTACTATGTGTGTGTCAGTACTTCATTCTTTGTTAATACTGAATAATGTTACATGAATGAATGGATATGCTTACATTTTGCTTACCCATTGAAGGACATCTGAGTTGTTTCTACTTGGTTATGAATAATGCTGTGAATGTTCAAGTATAAGTAGTCTTGTTGATTTTTTTTTTCTTTTGAGGGATAATTTATATATAATACAAAGCTCAAAAATATGTACAGCTCAGTCAGCTTTTACCTAAGTACCATCCTCCAGATTAGGATAGATAGACAGATAGAGAAAACATTTTCATTGGCCTCGAACTTTCCCTTGAGACTCTTCCTAATCAGTACCTTTCTTTAGGTTACTGTTACTCTGATTTCTGTTAATTGTGGTTTGGATTCATCTGTTCTTAAAGTTCATGTTAATAGGATCACATAGTATGATATAGTCTAGCTTCTTTCTCAACATGTTTCTGAGATCTGTATTATTGATTTCATGGGTTGGGTTTTTTTTAATTATTGTATAGTATTTCATGTATGAATTATACCACAGTTTGTTTATATAGTCACATGTTTATAGATAGGTATTATTGTGAACATAAGCCCTTATTTCTCTTGAATATATAAAGGGGAAATTGCTAGGTTATAAGATAAGTACATGTCAGATAATGCCAGTTTTCCAATATGGTTGTACCATTTTATATATCTACCAGCACTGAATTCCATTTTTTTTCTTTCTTATCTTGCTCAGCACTTTGGTATTGCATGTATTGTTTTAGGGTAGCGTTGTCTTGTCCACTTGATGTGTGTGTGTGTGTGGCCGGCCATGTGGCTTGTGGGATCTCAGTTACTCAACCAAGGATCGAACCTGGGCCATGGCAGTGAAAGCCTGGAATCCTAACCACTAAGCCACTAGGCAACTCCTTGTGCTAATTATTTTGTAATTTGCTTGCACGTATTTGCTGATTTTTGTTTTGGAGTGATTAACATTTCCTCAGATGTCGCGATATTTTCCTTTTTTCCCCCTCAACATTATTTATACCAAGGCAGGGCTGAAGCCTATGAAGCTTTACTTTTATCTACCTGATACCAAAACTCTTTCATGTCTTTCACCCTTTAAAGTGTTAGGCTTAGGTTTTCTCCACCAAGATGATAAAAATTTTCACCTTGGTTTCCTTCAAGTACTGTTACGGGGTTTTTTTGTATTGTTTAAACCTTAAGAAGTTAGAAATTGATAAAGGTCCCTTGTTATTATAGCGTATAGTACCTGTTATGTTATAGGAAGATACGCCGAGCAGCACATGCTCACTTCTAACTCACATGCAGCTGTCTGTGTCCAACCAACAAAAACAGTGGCCGTTGTGTGGTGGTTTTTGTTGTTATAAAGTGACTCCTAAATGTAAACCAACAACCTCATTTGGAGTTCCAGTCATAGAAAGCAGTCTTTTTCTACTCAGAAAGATAAACTGCAGAATTGGGACCTCAGGAGAGTGTTATATATAAATGAAACTACATGTTGTATTTTATGAGTGATTTAACGTACTGAAAAGTAATTTGGCAAAGTCAATTTATGCCCTACTGACTTTAGAACATGCTTTCTGAGAAAGATGAGGTATGGTTTTTGTGTGTTTTTTTTGTTGTTCTTGATTTTTGGCCACACTGCACAATTTGCAGGATTCTTAGTTCCCTGATCAGGGATTAATCTTTGGCCGTGGTAGTGAAAGCCTGGAATCCTAACCATTAGACCACCAGGGACTCCCTGTTTGTTATGTTTTGATGTTTGCTAAAATACTTTTCGTGTTATTTCCTTATAGCTATCCTGTGAAGTAGATTTTGTTATACTGATTTTGTAATTAAGAGTTAGATTTGCTACAGACTTGTATATATTACTATATATAAAAGAAATAATTAATAAGAACCTGTTGGTATAGCACAGGGAACTCCATTCAGTACTCTGTAATGGCCTATATGGGAAGAGAATCTTTACAAAAAAAGTGCCATAAATATTTGTTAAATAAAATTGATCTTCACAATAAAAAAATTAGATTTGCTGAATTAAACTTGCTCAGGAGTTAAAAATGTAGGACATGACATCACTTAGGTTTATAACCAGTACTGTCTGAATTCTAGCAGTTCATTCATAGAGTTCATAATTTTATGCAGAAGATAAGATATATTGCTGTAATATTAATGACTTAAGAAGTATCATAGTAGTGGTCTTTGTGTGCTTACCAGTCTAAAAATACAAATTTTCTTTTTTGCTCCACACAACCTCTATGTGATTACAACTGCCTCTACGGCACCTTTTTTGTTAATTCATTCAGTTATTCTTTTAATAAATTTGTTGATTATCTTGAATGCCAAACATGAGGAACTGGATATAAAGATAGTAAAGTCTTTCCTCCTAATGTATCTTGAGTCTAATAGGAGAGGCAGACATAAAACCAGTCTACAAATATGTAATAATTATTATGAAGTGGAAAAAGAAACCTTGGAGCTTATGAGAGTAATTGGGAGCCCTACTTAGCCCCAGTGTGATCAGTGAGGAAATGCTTCTCTAAGGAAATGTTTTAACTGAGACCTAAAGAATAAAGGTGTGGACCAGTTAACCCTGGTGGAGCACTGGAGAGGAGTGATGTAGGCAGAAAGTCACAGCATGTACAAAGACTCTGAAATGGGGTAATGTTTATTGTTGCAAAAACCTAAGGTGGGGCAATGAGGGGGGTGAGAAAGTTTCTTTAAGTGAGGCTGACGAAATAAGCAGAGCAAGATAAGACAGGGCCTTTTAGGCCTTAGGAAATACAGTAGAAAATTGTTAAAAGATGTGTTTTAAGGGGATTACTTTATAATTTTAATGATTATTGAGTACTAAATAGAGAATGGTTGGGGAGGCAAATGGTTACATTGAGAGATGACAGTCACTTGGACTAGGTTGGTGTTAGTGGGAGTGGAGAAAGTGGATATATCAATTATACAACCATTTTGGCCATGCAATTGATAGGGTCTGATGTATTGAATTGGGATAAGAAGAGGAAGGTGGACTTCCCTGGTGATTCAGTGGTTAAGAATCTGCCTGCCAAGGCAGGAGACATGGGTTCGGTCTCTGCTCTGAGAAGATTCCACATGCTGAGGGATGAAAAGCCTGTGGGCAGCACCGCTGTTCCAGAGTGCCCCGAAGCGTGTGCTCGGCAAAAGAGAAGCCATCGCAGCGAGCAGCCTGTGCACTGCGAGGAAGAGTAGGCTCTGCTCTGGAGAAAACAGGGGCCCGGCACAGCCAGAAATCAATAAGTTCAAAACCTTCCTTTTTAATTTTGAAAGAAGAGGGACATATTAAAGATGGCATTCAGTTTTCAGATATGAATAATGGAGGATTGTGATGGACAGGTTGGGGGGGTGGTACAAGGAAGGAAGAGTTATAACTTTTGGGGGGAAAATGATTTCATCATAGTAAGTCTGAAAAGCCTGTGAGATAATGCAGGTAGGGATGTTGACTAGGTCTGTTAGTGTGTCCTAGACTGGAAACTACATTTGATTTATAGACGGTATTTAAAGACAGGAGTTGCGTGAAAGCAGCTAGGGAGCAGAAAAGATGGCCTATGACCGAGTTCTTGAACCATGTAGACAGAATAAGAAACAACCAAAGGAAACTGAAAAGGTACCAGGAAAAGTGATGTATGAACAATTTAGATGGAAGGGTGTTTCATGAAAGTGATAATGGTTAACTGTTCAGATCTATTTAGAGTACTAAAAAGGGTAAATTCCTCCCCTTTATTTATTTAACTGCTCCTGTCCAGGTCTTAAATTTAAATACCACTTCTGGGTTAGGAGATTGTACATTTGATTCTTCCATAGTGTTTTCTATTTTTTCTATTATATTGATACTTTATTATAGTTACCTGTTTGGCTGTCTTGTTTTTCTTCATTGTTCATTTTCCATGAGGTAATGGAGACTTACTGTCTTATTCAACCTTGTGTTTTCAGGTCCTGGCATAGTGTTTTGCACCAAGAACAACTAAGTAAATAATTTTTGGAGTGACTGAATGAGCAGAGTATCCCTTTGGGTCTTACATGGAAGACATTTTTTATATCTAAAGGGAAATTCTTCTGTTTCTAAGAATGTGTTTGTAGAATGCATGAAAAAGCCTGTAAGGAGGAAACTAAAAATCACGAGTGTCTATGTGAACATGTGCAGAAAAGTACTAAAACTTGGGCTGGAAGGACATTATAGGAGGTGTTTATATTGCGGAAGAGGGAATGAGAATACATATAAGAAGAGATTTCAGTTCTTTTTTAATAAATCAAAAGCAAATATGACAGATTTAGGAATTAACTAGCTTTTTTGTGTTGTTAATGAAAACAATCCAGGATCATGGCATAAAATTTGGCTAATAGAAAACCTCTGTAATCCTCCCATTGCACATATAACTCATTAGCATTTTTGGTGCATTTCATTATTTTCTGTATGTGTTGCATTGTATATGCATGTAAATACATATACTAAGTCATGCAGTTTATATCCTACTTTTGTTGTATGGTCAAAGCTATTTTAAATATAGCATACAGAAAAATGATCATGAGGATACAGTTGATTAATTTTCACAAACTGGACACACTTATAAAACAGCTGTATTATGATACAAAATGTTATTAGCACCTTGGAAACGACCCCCTCAGGTTATTGATTTTTTGCTCATTTTGTTTTTGTCTGGCCACTTAATAGAATATCCCTGGAGAAATTATTACTGAATTAGGGAAATAGGTATCACGGAGGAGACCGTTTGTGAGCTACTGCCACCGATGTGGTTAGAAGTTCAACAGAATGTAGGCAAATGCAAACATGTGAAGGTTTTAGGAGTTAGGTTACTGCATTTTGTGTGTGTGTGTGTGTTCCTTATATGTGAGTGGTAGGAAATACTGGAACCAACTAGTGGAGGAAAGCCTTTTGTGCCAGCCAAGTAGTGAAATAAGAGTACTAAGAATATTTGCAGAAATTTAAAATATGTTTTTTTATTTGTAGGCACACAAGTCTCTGAATTTTGTTTCAACGCTGCTTCAGATTACTATGTCGGAACAACTGGATTTACCTGTGAGACAGGCAGGCAAGTTTCCTGAATTATTTTCTTGGATATATGTAAATAATGTTTGAAATGTTCATAGTTGAATAGCAGATGTGTCTTGGGAAGATCCTTCGGTGATTTTCTTCCCGGAAAATTGATTTGCCCCCCTTATGTTTACTACAAACTGTCACAAGTACATGAATATCTGGTGGCAGAGTTTCAAGGAAGTGATATTTCACTGAATTAAGAAAGAAGCTGGAAAATTGATGAGGTTTATTGCAAGATTTCCATTTTCTGTTTCCTTCCATGATGGATCATTCTAAGATACAAACCTCCAGTTATTTGCTTTTACTGTTCTATTTTAACCATTTAAAAGATACTATTTCTTAGACGCAGTTTTAACAAATATTAATTCCTTCAGTATCAGAGTCTATGAAAATGTGGCATGCTACTTCTGATATTATCTGTTAGTCAGCAAAGTAATGAAATTCACATCTTCAGTGTTTGTTATTTACTTGCAGATGTATTTCTTATAGGACATATAAACTGCGAATAACTTTACTGTTCTGGAAAAACCACTTATATTCTGGAGTTATTTTTTGCTGTTTTTTTCTCCTTACACCAATTTTGTTTTTTAAAAAAATTTTTCCGCTTACTTTATTTAATGCAATCACATCCCTTTTCTCTACATAGTGTTCATCTTAAAATTTATGTTTTAATGACTGAAGGATTTACCTTAATGTTCCATATGCTCTGAAACCTTTCTCGGTTGTTGGAATTTAATATAAGGTTTATATGGTTAACAGTTATATTCTGAGTGCCTAAAGAATTGCCTGACACAGTGAAGGTACTCAGTAAATGAATGAATGAATGGAAGTTATGACTTTTTTAAACTTGGCATATAAATAACACAAATTAAATGGGACTTTTGTGTCTATAAAATACAGTAACTTCACTGAACCTTGGTCAACAGTAAATCTTTAAAAAGATTTTCTAGTTAAATAAGAAAAGGTTGGTTTGACTATTTTAACTGCCATTTCTCTTTTACTAATGAAGTTGACATTTTCCCCTTTGGCTATTTTTTTAGATAAGAATCTTTGCCTTTAAATCTCAAAATTTTTACTAAGATGTTGAAAGCCTTTGGATTTAGGAAGGACTTTAAGCACATTAGAAACTTGATTATGTGTTTTAGCAAAATTAAATTCTACTAGAAAGTTGTTTTTTTAGTATGTACAAAGCCAGAAGCAACTGAACTGTGGAATTGGTCCTAATTTTTAAAGTATCATCATTACTTTCAAATGTACATTCTTACAATTACTGAATTACATTGTATAGTGCATGGTATATGGTGGTTTCATTTGTTAGACTTTGAAAGATACATTTACTGTCTTTGTAGCAGAGCTCAAGTGTTCTGGATGGAGTAGAGTGAATAATGAAGTTCTTGCAGTGCAGTTCCCACTTCTTTATGTGTTTTGTTTGACCAAACACTTTTTTTTTTCCATTTATTTTTATTAGTTGGAGGCTAATTACTTTACACTATTGTAGTGGGTTTTGTCATACATTGATATCAATCAGCCATGGAGTTACATGTATTCCCCATCCCGATTCCCCCCCCCCCCACCTCCCTTTCTACCTGATCCCTCTGGGTCTTCCCAGTGCACCAGGCCTGAGCACTTGTCTCATGCATCCAACCTGGGCTGGTGATCTGTTTCACCATAGATAATATACATGTTTCGATGCTGTTCTCTCGAAACATCCCACCCTCGCCTTCTCCCACAGAGTCCAAAACTCTGTTCTGTACATCTGTGTCTCTTTTTCTGTTTTGCATATAGGATTATCATTACCATCTTTCTAAATTCCATATATATGTGTTAGTATACTGTAATGGTCTTTATCTTTCTGGCTTACTTCACTCTGTATAATGGGCTCCAGTTTCATCCATTTCATTAGAACTGATTCAAATGAATTCTTTTTAACGGCTGAGTAATATTCCATTGTGTATATGTACCACAGCTTCCTTATCCATTCGTCTGCTGATGGGCATCTAGGTTGCTTCCATGTCCTGGCTATTATAAACAGTGCTGTGATGAACATTGGGGAGCACGTGTCTCTTTCAGATCTGGTTTCCTCAGTGTGTATGCCCAGAAGTGGTATTGCTGGGTCATATGGCAGTTCTGTTTCCAGTTTTTTAAGGAATCTCCACACTGTTCTCCATAGTGACTGTACTAGTTTGCATTCCCACCAACAGTGTAAGAGGGTTCCCTTTTCTCCACACCCTCTCCAGCATTTATTGCTTGTAGACTTTTGGATAGCAGCCATCCTGACTGGCGTGTAATGGTACCTCATTGTGGTTTTGATTTGCATTTCTCTGATAATGAGTGATGTTGAGCATCTTTTCATGTGTTTGTTAGCCATCTGTATGTCTTCTTTGAAGAAATGTCTGTTTAGTTCTTTGGCCCATTTTTTGGTTGGGTCATTTATTTTTCTGACCAAACACTTTTTAAAATACTGAATCAAAATTATACAAATAAGTATATACATCCACTTCTTTGGTGCATTATGATAGAAAGAAATACTCAGAGGCTGTTTTTCACAGTTCTGGAGTCCAAGATAGAAACTTTATTGGTATGTGTATGCAGTTTTGTTATTTAGAAATTTCATTTTAAAAAACAGACTTGGTAAAACAGCTTTCCTACAGAAAACAGGGTGAAAAGTGTTGTGTGTAAATGCATTGTAAAAACAATTTTGTTTTAGTTTGCAGAGTTACTGCAGTTCAGTTCAGTTCAGTCGCTCAGTCGTGTCTGACTCTGCGACCCCATGAACCGCAGCATGCCAGGCCTCCCTGTCCATCACCAACTCCCGAAGACTGTATGTTTAATAATGACTTTGTGGGTGATTACTGTAGCCAACATTAAATTTGTGTTTTGTCAACTTTTTAAATAATAGAATACAGTATTTTAATTTTAAAAGGATAGCTTTACTAGCAGTGGTTGGTCTGAAAGAAATAAACTGAGTTGTAGACACAGGGATGCTTACAGTGCTTTCACATTCTTTTGTCAAATTGATCTATATTTTAGGTGTTATCTATTTGAAAAATATGATAACGCAGTATTGGCCTGATCGGGAAACAGCACCAGGGGATATATCCCCTTATACTATTCCTGAAGAAGATCGACATTGTATTCGAGAAAATATTGTAGAAGCTATTATTCACTCTCCTGAGCTCATCAGGTATGTATGTATTTTAAACTTAACCATTATTGAAGGTAATAATTTTCAGGGTTTGCAGAAAAGGGAATCTTTCAGAACATAAAAATTGGTTGTTTTGGAGACTTCCCTGGTGATCTGGGGGTTAGGAATCCACTTTACAATGCAAGGGATGCGGGTTCAGTCCCTGGTTGGGGAACTTTGGTCCTACATGTTCTGGAGCAACTAAAGCCTGTGTGCCACAACTCCAGAGTCAGGGTGCCATGACTGAAAGATTCAGCAAGATGCAGCAAAGATCCCTAATGCTGTAACCAAGACCTAGTGCAGCTCCCTCCCAAAAATCTGTCCTTTCTGAAGCACAAAACTTAAATGCTGTTACAGGAAAATTACTTTATTTTCTCACTACAGTTTAATTTTACATTAATTAAAACCTAAAACTTTAAACTTCATGTCAAACTTGTGAAACATACTATGTTCAGATGAAAGGGAGCATAGAAAATTACAGAATTCTGTCATACTTTATATTGTATTGATGTTCTGAATGAAACCTGTCAGTTGATGGGGATGAAAAAAATACAATTATCTGCATTTATAACATTTTTTGGGTTTCTTTTAAATCAGTAGTAATAGTTTTTGTTTAGTGACTTGTTTTTTTAAGTTTATTTTTGACTGCACTGAGTCTTTGTAGCTTTGCTCAGGCTTTCTCTAGCAGCAGTCGGGGGCTACTCTTTGTTGCCGTGTGCTGGCTTCTCATTGCGGACCACAGGCTCTAGGTACTCAGGCTTCAGTAGTTGCAGCATGTGGGCTCAGTTGTTGGCAGCTTTCATGCTCTAGGGCGCATGGGCTTCAGTAGTTGGGGTGCACAGGATTAGCTGCTCTGTGGCTTGTGGAATCTTCCTGGACCAGGGATCAAGCCTGTGTCCTCCACATTGGCAGGGGAATTCTTATCCACTGCACCACCTGGAAAGTGCAATTCAGTTGCTCAGTTGTGTCTGACTCTTTATGACCCCATGGACTGCAGCATTCCAGGCTTCCCTGTCCATCATCAACTCCTGGAGCTTGCTCAGACTCATGTCCATCGAGTCGGTGATGCCATCCCACCATCTCATCCTCTGTTGTCCCCTTCTCCTCCTGCCTTCAATCCTTCCCAGCTTCAAGGTCTTTTCCAGTGAGTCAGCCCTTTGCATCAGGTGGCCAACTTATTGGAGTTTCAGTTTCAGCGTCAGTCCTTCCAATGAACACCCAGGACTGATCTCCTTTAGGATGGACTGGTTGGATCTCCTTGCAGTCCAAGGGACTCTCAAGAGTCCTCTCCAACACCACAATTCAAAAGCATCAATTCTTCCGTGCTCAGCTTTCTTCACAGTCCAACTCTCACATCCATACATGACTACTGGAAAAACCATAGCTTTGACTAGATGGATCTTTGTTGGCAAAGTAACATCTCTGCTTTTTAATATGCTGTCTAAGTTGGTCACAGCTTCTCTTCCAAGGAGCAAGCGTCTTTTAATTTCATGGCTGCAGTCACCATCTGCAATAATTTTGAAGCCCAAGAAATAAAGTCTGTCACTGTTTCCATTGTTTCCCCATATATTTGCCATGAAGTGATGGGACCAGATGCTATGATCTTAGTTTTTTGAATGTTGAGTTTTAAGCCATATATATATATTTGGCTGCTTTGGTGGTTCTTTGGGGCATGTGGGATCTTTCCATTGTGGGGAAGGCTTTTCTAGTTATGTCATGGGCTTATTAGTATTTCTTCCTTGTTATTGTTTATTTTTGACTTTCAGGGTACAGCTTACTACATGCATTCATCATATCATCAAACATGATTATCCAAGTCGCTGGACTGCTATTGTGGACAAAATTGGCTTTTATCTTCAGTCTGACAACAGTGCATGTTGGCTAGGAATTCTTCTTTGCCTCTATCAGCTTGTGAAAAATTATGAGTAAGTATCTCTCAATTCCTGTAGTTCTGAGAAGTAGAAAAAGCTTGGGATATTTAAGCTAATCGGTTTGAACAACTTAAAGTTTCATTTGATCTATATACCAAAGTTAGTGAATTACATGTTGATTTTAATTGTGTCTTCATTTTGAAATAGCATTCTTGTTTTAAATCTGCAATCTCTTCTGTTGATTCAGCTGTGAAACTCCTTGTGCCCTTTTTTCTTAATCATCTGTTTCCCTGTTCAAAACCTAAGTTATCTATAACTCCTGTATATAGACTCCTCAATCTGTGTTGATAAAAGGCCTAAAGATAAACTTTTTTTAAGATATGAAAGCGGTCAAAGTACACTGAGCTTTAGAGCTCTTTTTCTGGCTTTCTGTGAATTTTTATCTTAATTTGAATTCTTGCTAAATTTCAAGAACCTACCTCTAATTTTTTAAGAAGAATGCATTGGAAATTCATTTGATCATTTTTTAACCTTTGTGTTTGAAGGATTCATAGTCACCTGCTTCATTCCGTGTTGGTGTATTTGAGCAAATTACAGCCTGTGTAAGTGCTTGGTATCAGTAAGAAAGATTTAGGGATCATTTTAGACCTGGGTTTAGGGATCAGGAAAAAAAATCTAACCTTGGAAGTTGAGATATAGCACTGAAAGTAATAAGCCGAATGTTGTTGAGGTTTTTCTCTTAAGTGTGTGGTGAAAATGATGAAATTGGTAGGCACTTGAAAATTTTGATGTTAGAACATTAAAGAGGAAGGAACACTACACCATGATGGTGGCTTTATTTCTAGTCCTAACAGCTACACATTGTGAGCCCTGTATATCTGGGGCTTGTAGTTAGCCTCTGATATCCTTTCTGGGTCCCACTCAAAGTAGCTGATGAACTGCTGCTTTTGTTCTGAGCAGGAAAGAAATATAGCATTTACAGCATTGGTACTGGTGTTTTCTTGTGTTCCCACCAGCTACCCATCTTCCTGCTAAGGGATGTTCCAGCTGTTGCTCCAACCTCTGTCGGAGTGCCAGTTGTTGTAGTTCTGGTAAGTGAGTGACTGAGAGAGTAACAGTAACAAGCTGCCATTGTCATTGGGAAGGTCCACGTCTCCTGCCGTGTGGTCCTTAGCAGGAGAGAGTGTGATAGGGATTTTTAAATGGAAGACGGGAGACTGCTGCAGTGGTGGAATTTCAGTTTATCTTCAGCCAGTGTCTGGAGCACAAGGTGTTCACGAGGGATCTGTGTGGACTAACGCAGTTCTTAGAGAATGCATGCAGAGATTGAAAGTTGTGGTGGCCCTCAGGAGCATAGATCCTCAGGAAATGCTTGTCAGTTGAAGGAGCATAGAAGGAGCAAAGAGGAAAGGAATTGGCTAGTTTTTGAGAATTCCCTATGAGTATGGTTCACCAGATTGACATTGGTAATAGGCTTTTATTTGTGGGAAGAGGTGAGCTCCACATTCTGTTCCTCCACCATCTTGATCACTCCGTAGGCTTTTATTAGTATCACATTTTCATGCTTTGAGGAGCTTTCAGGTCTTATGGATTAGTGTTTGTATCCTTCCATAAATTATTTTCATACTCATTAGTTTGGATGTTGCACCATCCAACTTCCAGGCCACCACTCAGTGTAGAGAGGGAGTTAGGAGAGAAGAATGTCTTAAATAACATGGAATGGGTATTCAAACTATCGTAATGTGGGTGATCACCTGGATTGGATAATGGAGAGAGGGTTGCATCATATACTTCTCATCTTTGTTGTTATAAGATAATATTGTTAGTAATTAATATAGCTTGTCTAATCAAGTTGGAGAGTGCAAATGGCTTCCTTTTGTAAATTGTTACTGTTTTTATTGATTCAAAGAAATGTTCAGATAACCTTTAAATGTATACTAGGTGTAATTTCTGAGCATATTAAATAATATTTAAAACTGTCAGTTAATTGTTTAATCTCAAAACATTATTAGCATGAACATTGCTCTTGTTTTAGTCTTGGCAGTTTACTTTGCTTCTCATTTCACCCAGTAGGAAAAACAATCCAGCCTTTTAGGAATGTCTACCTTTACCTTTAAAAATGTGCTAACATACTCAATTTTCAGAAACATTTTCTCCCTTTACAGAAGCTACTGATAGATAAAATTGGGATCTGGTAGGGGAAATCAGTAACTTAAAATTACAAAAAAAAAAAAGCCAATAGACCTTTTAACAGTACTGTTAAAATGCTAAGGATCTCCATGGAGGAATGTCTCAGTTAGTCAGCACTTCTTTACCTCATATCTTTGAAGCAAAATGTAATTCACAATTCAGAATTTTTCAGAGTTTAAAAAGGTTTAAACAAGGTTCACATAATATATATTCTATTGAAATCTGTACCAGTATCCAGGAATCAAACATTATTTTTTATATATGCTATAAGTATATGAATATTTACTCCAAATGGGATAAACAGAGATCATCAATATCCTGTTGAGGTCAGACTTTTTTGCCAGAAAGGTTGCAAAAGAACTTCCAATTTATAGTGCTTTTAGAAATACAATATTTTCTGCTTTACAGATGCCATTTCTTCCTTAATGCTTCTGGTGTGTAAATCACTCAAGGATGGTAATGCGTAATTATTTTATATCAATCAGCTCCTAATGTTTAAAAACCAAATCATTGTAACTCCTCAGTTTTATCAGTATTCACAGTTAGTAATAATATAGTGAAATGGTTAAAGGGCAGATCCTGAATCTGCTAAGGTTCATACCTAGATATGTATATTAGGGAAGATATTTAACTTCTCTATGCCTCAGTTTCCTCAGCTATAGAAGTGAGAATATTAATGAGGCCTTGAAGGTTGTTTACCTCATAATTAAGTGCTCAGTAAATTTTAGATGTTCTGTTGTTTGAGGTTTTTCTCAAGTTGCTTTTTGCCTATGATTTAATTCCATAATAGATTTTTCTTCTAGGACTATAAAATTGCTTAGAAAATATTTGCTTTTATCTGTATAAACAGGCAAGTAGTTTAAATTTATATCTCATATTTAATTATAAATAAATTCTCACAGAATTAGTTTGTATTCCTACCCAAAGGTATAAGAAACCAGAGGAACGGAGTCCATTGGTAGCAGCAATGCAGCATTTCCTGCCAGTTCTAAAGGACCGTTTTATCCAGCTTCTTTCTGATCAGTCTGATCAATCTGTCCTCATTCAGAAACAAATTTTCAAGATCTTCTATGCTCTTGTTCAGGTAATTTTATAAAGTAGTTTTTAATATATAAGGTCAGCTATCATTTGGCACCTTAAATGATGATAAAGAATGTCTTTCCGCTTAAGAATTCACAAAACGGAAAATCAGTTCTTAGAGTTTACATCTAACACATGCTTTGTCATGCTATATGTGTGTAGATTGTCCCACTAATTAAAAAACCTATTCCTAAGCTTGACATGAAATGACTAAGACTGTGGATTTGACTTTGTATATTCTAAATCTTCCTGGGATAAAAGACCCAAATAAGGAAATGGTGATATCTATAGTCTCAGTTCAGTTCAGTTGCTCAATCGTGTCCGACTCTTTGCGACCCCATGAATCACAGCACGCCAGGCCTCCCTGCCCATCACCAACTCCCAAAGTTTACTCAAACTCATGTCCGTTGAGTCAGTGATGCCATCCAGCCATCTCATCCTCTGTCGTCCCCTTCTCCTGCCCCCAATCCCTCCCAGCATCAGGGTCTTTTCCAGTGAGTCAACTCTTCACATGAGGTGGCCAAAGTATTGGAGTTTCAGCTTCAGCATCAGTCCTTCCAATGAACACCCAGGACTGATCTCCTTTAGGATGGACTGGTTGGATCTCCTTGCAGTCCAAGGGACTCTCAAGAGTCTTCTCCAACACCATAGTTCAGAAGCATCAGTTTTTCAGTGCTCAGCTTTCTTCACAGTCCAACTCTCACATCCATACATGACCACTGGAAAAACCATAGCCTTGACTGACCTTTGTTGACAAAATAATGTCTCTGCTGTTTAATATGCTGTCTAGGTTGATCATGACTTTCCTTCCAAGTAAGTGTCTTTTAATTTCATGGCTGCAGTCACCATCTGCAGTGATTTTTGAGCCCCCAAAAATAAAGTCTGACACTTTTCCCCATCTGTTTCCCATGAAGTGATGGGACTAGATGTCGTGATCTTAGTTTTCTGAATGTTGAGCTTTAAGCCAACTTCTTCACTCTCTTCTTTCACTTTCATCAAGAGGCTTTTTAGTTCCTCTTCACTGTCTGCCCATAAGGGTGGTGTCATCTGCATATCTGAGGTTATTGATATTTCTCCCAGCAATCTTGATTCCAGCTTGTGCTTCTTCCATCCCAGCGTTTCTCATGATGTACTCTGCATACAAGTTAAATAAGCAGGGTGACAATATACAGCTTTGACGTATTCCCTTTCCTATTTGGAACCAGTCTGTTGTTCCATGTCCAGTTCTAACTGTTGCTTCCTGACCTGCATATAGGTTTCTCAAGAAGCAGGTCAGGTGGTCTGGTATTCCCATCTCTTTCAGGATTTTCCACAGTGTATTGTGATCCACACAGTCGAAGGCTTTGGCATAGTCAATAAAGCAGAAATAGATGTTTTTCTGGAATTCTCTTGCTTTTTCAATGATCCAGCGGATGTTGGCAGTTTGATCTGTGATTCCTCTGCCTTTTCTAAAACCAGCTTGAGCATCTGGAAGTTCACGGTTCACATTTGCTGAAGCCTGGCTTGGAGAATTTTGAGCATTACTTTACTAGTGTATGAGATGAGTGCAACTGTGCAGTAGTTTGAGCATTCTTTGGGATTGGAATGAAAACGGACCTTTTCCAGTCCTGTGGCCACTGCTGAGTTTTCCAAATTTGCCAGCATATTGAGTGCAGCACTTTCACAGCATCATCTTTCAGGATTTGAAATAGCTCAGCTGGAATTCCATCACCTCCAGTAGCTTTGTTCATAGTGATGCTTCCTAAGGCCCACTTGACTTCACATTCCAGGATGTCTGGCTCTAGGTGAGTGATCACACCATCGTGATTATCTGGGTTGTGAAGATCATTTTTGTTCAGTTCTTCTGTGTATTCTTGCCACCTCTTCTTAATATCGTCTGCTTCTGTTAGGTCCATACCATTTCTGTCCTTTATCGAGCCCATCTTTGCATAATATGTTCCCTTGGTATCTCTGATTTTCTTGAAGAGATCTCTAGTCTTTCCCATTCTGTTGTTTTCCTCTATTTCTTTGCATTGATCGCTGAGGAAGGCTTTCTTATCTCTCCTGGCTATTCTTTGGAACTCTGCATTCAATTCCTTTTCTCCTTTGCTTTTCACTTCTCTTCTTTTCACAGCTATTTGTAAGGCCTCCTCAGACAACCATTTTGCCCTTTTGCATTTCTTTTCCATGGGGATGGTCTTGATCCCTGTCTGCTGTACAATGTCACGAACCTCAGTCCATAGTTTATCAGGCACTCTAACAGATCTAGTCCCTTAAACCTATTTCTCACTTTCACTGTATAGTCATAAGGGATTTGATTTCAGTCATACCTGAATGGTCTCGTGGTTTTCCCTACTTTCTTCAATTTAAGTCTGAATTTAAGTCTATAGTCTCAGGGGACTGTAATTACTTATGAAACAGATTTTTCGACTAGGATTAAAATCTTTGCTCTTCATGTGCCATATGGCCAAAGAAAGATTTGTCTCACCTGCCAGGATCTTTGGTTCAATTCATACCATTACTTATTTTTTATAAATCTTATTTAAATAGACCTGTGACTTTATTTCCACTAAAGTTATAACTGACTCACTGCCATTGTTTGGTTGGAGTTTTCATGCTATTGCTAGTTCTTTAAAGATAATGTAATATCTTTCTAATGACTCCTTGTATAATTTTTAAAGAAATGAAGGTTCTTTTTATAAGTTATTCTAGGGCATAGGACCAAATGGTTTTTTGAGACTAGCATACCCTGAAATAAAAATATAGTACTGGCTCATTTGTGAAAATAGAGGTCCTGAAATGCTAAATAGGATATTGATTTTATGCTTCTATTAAGTGATATGATTTATCCCAGAAACATGAGAATATCAAGAGTGAAAAACCAGTTTTTGTGATTAAGTTTTATATTATGCAAAAAGAGAGACCTATAAACAATCTTTAAGGATGGTAAATAAAGTATTTGATAATCATTTCTGCTTTTAAAAAAAATAACTTAAGTATCCTGTAATAGAAATTTCCTTAACTGAATAAAAGATATTGTATCTTATGGTGAAAATTAGATGTATTCCCAGGAATTTGGGAATAAAACAAGGATGCTGACTATCTGCCACAGTTGACCATTGTACATAAACTAACCAAATCAACCAGATGAGAAATTTGCCTATTTACTAAAAGAGGAAATGTGGATTGCATGAAGTATGTTTTTTAGGTTTTATAAAGAGTTAAAGGAAGTTGGATTTTCTTTTGTAAAGATTTTAAAATATTGATTCTTGATTTTAATTTAGTATACATTACCACTGGAGCTGATAAACCAACAGAATTTGACAGAATGGATAGAAATTTTAAAGACCGTTGTGAACAGGGATGTACCTAATGTAAGTGTATTTCCTATATCACTGAACTTAAATATTTAGTTACCTTTTGAGAATTTTAATTGATATTTCCTAAAACATTCTTTGTGAATTTATGTATTTTGTGATGTAAATTTTCCTAAGTACATGTTTCATTTGTTTATATATGTGAGTATATTAAGGGAAAAATTATAAAGGTTATTTTGTGTATTATTTAAAGTGCTTATTTATAGCTGGTTTTTTCCATTCTAATTCTCTGTTTCTTCAGTTTTTAATTGAGTTCATAAAATGTATCACCTGGCATAGTTAGAAATTTTTTTTTCTTGTAGTGAGAACTTTTAAATCTACTGTCTTAGCAACCTTCAGATAATTTTTTTTTTTGTTATTTATTATTTATCAAATCTATAGATACATTAAGGTTGTCTGTTATGGATGTTCCATAATTAAACATCTTATTAATGAATGTTTTGTTCTTGTCAGTTTTCTTTGTTATAAATAGTTTTGTAAATGAATGTTTTCATCTGTTTATATTTATGTATTTAAACTAGTATTTCTGAAAGTAGATTTTTAAAATGGAATTTTTTTGTGCCGTTTTGATTTGTGCCCTTTAACTATACTGGTTTTAGTTAAGCTGCTTACCCAGGCCTTGATTTGTATTATTTGGATCATGACTACAATGTTTTTGAGTTTAAACTTTTATAAGACTTTTTAAAAAATTTATTTATTTTAGTTGGAGGCTAATTACTTTATAATATTGTAGTGGTTTTTGCCATACATTGATATGAATCAGCCATGGATGTACATGTGTTCCCCATCCTGAACCCCCCTCCCACATCCCTCCCCATCCCATCCGTCTGGGTCATCCCAGTGCACCAGCCCTGAGCACCCTGTCTCATACATCGAACCTGGACTGGCGACCTGTTTCATATATGATAATATACATGTTTCAACGCTATTCTCTCAGATCATCCCACCCTCGCCTTCTCCCACAGTGTCCAAAAGACTGTTCTATACATCTGTGTCTCTTTTGCTGTCTCGCATGTAGAGTTACCATTACCATCTTTCTAAATTTCATATATATGTGTTAGTATACTGTATTGGTGTTTTTCTTTTGGCTTTCTTCACTCTGTATAATAGGCTCCAGTTTCAGCCACCTCATTAGAACTGATTCAAATGTATTCTTTTTAATGGCTGTAAACTTTTATAAGACTTTGAAAAAGCGTGTCCTTTGTAACTTAAGTAGTGAGGCAAAACGCCTATTATAAACAAAGGTTAGTACTTTCCCAAGTATAGCCTTTTATAATGAAAGGCCAGTGTTGGAGGAGCATTCATGTTTTTGTGAATCTGTTCTGAACTCACACTATTCCTTTTAGATTATATTATCTGTCATTAAATAAATGTCTCTTTAAAGGAAACACTTCAAGTTGAAGAAGATGATAGACCTGAGTTACCATGGTGGAAATGTAAGAAGTGGGCTTTACATATCTTAGCAAGGCTTTTTGAAAGGTAAACTCTTCTCATTATGTGATAACTTAAGTTTTTTTTTTTTTAATCTTCACAAATAAGTGCTAATATAAAACATTATAAAGACATGATGGGCATTTTAATGTTCTTTTAGGTATGGAAGTCCTGGCAATGTTTCCAAAGAGTATAATGAATTTGCTGAAGTGTTTCTGAAGGCATTTGCTGTTGGTGTCCAACAAGTAAGTTTAAGATAATTTTTCCACGTAAAAACATGGCACTGTTAATTTATCTTGCTTATTTCTAGTTTCTTTGTCATCCAAAAATTGCATGTAGCAGTCTTTAACATCTTGAACACTGTAGTTAGCAAGTGTTTTGGTCTCAGGACCGCCTTACAGTCTGGATTATAGATTATATTACATGTAGTGATATTTACTGTTTTAAAAACTGAGACAAAATTTAACAGTATTAATTTATTTAAAAGTAATAGCCAACCTATCACATATTAATAGACTACATGTTTTTTGTTGTTGTTGAAAATAGCTGTTTTCCAAAATGAAAAATTTTTAGCAGGAGGAAATGGCATTGTTGCACATTTTGACTAATACCTTTAATGTCTGCCTTTCTAAAGACTAGTAAAAGTTAGTCATATACCACATCTACCTCTCTATTCATTGTTTTAACTTGTTCTAATGGAAATAAATAAAGATAATTTGGTCTCAAAGATAAGTTGGAAAAGGAAAGTCTGATTTAATATACTTTTCACATAATTGTGGAAATTTTTTATATCATACCAACATTTGACAGTGGTATTTTCTTAAAGGTTAATTGCAATGTAGAGTTTGAAACTATAACAATAAACATCTCATATTATGTTATATTAGCATTCATTGGTTTGGTATTGTACTTTCAATGGGTCTTTTATCCATATATGATTTTGTAATCCTGCCTTGGTCATTGGAAAATATTGACTTAGTGGGTCACTGGCAATTTTCTGAATGTTAATTGATTTCATTATGTAACTTGAAAAATTTTCATTCATTCTTATCACCACTGATCTTATCAGAAGTATCTTTAAATATTTAAAAGCTGTCAAGTGGAACTCAGTGGTGGGTATAAGATTTTGAGAATTCTAGTTTTGCTTGAAGTCTCAGGTTTTAACACCAGTTACATATTCTCACTTCAGTGAGAGGCTTATTTTGTTCATTTTTGAGGGTGAAAAAAAAATCTGCCACATACACAAGTCTAAATGACCATAATTTTATCAATCAGTTTTTCTTTCAAGCTTATGATATTTGTTGGAAAAAACTTTCTCAGTTCTGACTCTTCTTTCTCTTCGAAATGAATCTTTTGCCTTTTACCAAAGGTTTGCCTGGGGAGGGATAGGCAAGTGTTGCTTCATTTTTTTTGAGGCCTTGTGAGATAAACAAGGCCCAAAGAAAAAAGCTGTTTCCGCTTTTCTTCCAAGCATTGTACTTTGGTATGTAGCAGAAGTGCTGCATGTATGCTTCCCATTTATTAATATTTATATTACTGGTTCATAAAGGACATTCCTAAAGAAAGTTTGTTCTTTGATTATGTGGCTGTAAAGAATATGATGACTGCTAGTACAGTTTAGTGCCACTCTGTTGACTCATGTTGGGCACCTGAAGTTTTACCACCACGGGTTTTGTATCATTGATGCAAGTGTCAACACAGTAAAAAATGGCAAATAATGTCTGAGCATTATTTATGGAAATAGTTTTGACCCATCAGACCCTGTGAGGTCTGTGGATCTTATTTTAACAACTGCTGTTCTAAAATATCAAAGATGAATTATAACTCTTAACAGTCATTAATTGCTTAAATGGTTTGGGTAAGATTTTCCTAAAAGCTGATTTTAACAATATAGTGCTGTCTCAGTGGTGTGTTCACAAATAGCATATGATTTTCTCTTCTTGTATTTAATCAGAAACTCATCCTTTGATGTACACTGTTACTTCAATTTGTTTATTTTACTTTGGGAATAAACATAGTTCTCCAATACATAATTGAAAAAATTACTCTCTTTTTAATAGAATCTGGCGGTTATTTTATGTTGATGATCTGGGTAGTGTCAGATATTTTTGCTAGCTTGTAAATAGTTAAACTCTATTTAAGCTTTGTTTTTGATCAAATTTTTTTTCAAAGGTTTTATTGAAGGTCTTATATCAGTACAAGGAGAAGCAATATATGGCTCCCCGAGTTTTACAACAGACGTTAAATTATATTAATCAAGGAGTTTCCCATGCTCTCACCTGGAAGAATCTGAAGCCTCATATACAAGTAACATTTTTCTATCTGAACTATTTTTCTAGAAAATACATTGGAAATAACGTTAATTACCAAAGGGGTTGAAAAATCATTTTTTTTATGTGTGTTACTTGGTCTAGTTCTGGTAGTTTTATATTAGAAAGATAAAGTAACACCCTGAAAAACTTTATAAAAGGTATTTTGTAAATATTCAGATTATTTAATCTGATTCTATTGTCTTAAAATTTGCCTTTAAGTTCTTACTGTTAGATCATGATTAGTTTAACATGACTAGTTAACATGTAATTTGGAATAGACAAAGGGCTATTTCACCAAATTACTTTTGAGGCTAATTGGCTTATGTACTGTTTCCAGTATATTTGCTTTGTTTTTAACTATAGGGTTTGATGGACTAAAATTTCAGTCTGTATTTTCTAAGAATACTTAATTGCTCTCTATGTATACATGTCTTATTTTGTGACACGTGCCTTACCCTTGTTGCACAGAGGGTAAGAATATGTACATTGGTGGTTGATGTGAGAATGCATTTTAATGCATTTATTTATATTTTACTGAAGTTTGATATTAAGCTTTAAAACACATGCTGTAGAGTTATTTTTATTTTAGCACTTATTAGAAATTTGAAAGTTTAAATTTGAAAACTGAATTAAGGTTACTTTTTTAACTTTTAAATTGCAGGGCATTATCCAAGATGTTATTTTTCCATTGATGTGCTATACAGATGCTGATGAGGAACTTTGGCAAGAGGACCCTTATGAATATATACGCATGAAGTTTGGTGAGGACATTTCACTTTTTTAGAAACAACATGTCAGTCGTTAAGGTTCTATATGATAACCTTGAATATTAAGCCCTCACCTTTGGAACTGAGAAGTCTGCCTTTATTTTAATATAATTTATCCATTGTTAAGTCATTTGGAAGTTTTCATTAGCTTGGTTATTTGATAATGATAATCATTTTTAGCAGATGTAAATACAATAGTGTTAGTAGGTTTTGACTGTTGGATATACCTCTGGCACATGCCAAAATTGTTAGAAATTCAAGGGTACACCTTAACACTAAGTATCTAAACTGTGCTTTTGGATCCCATGTCAGTCATCATGTGTATGGAAATTGAGAAGACGCATACTGGAAGCTGGAGTCATACGGAGTCTCTGCATGGAACTAAAGAATTGTAATTTGGCTAATGTTGAGTATTAGTCTTTCTTCCTACCAAAATCTTACGTACTTTCAGTAGTTTGTATTTTTGTGACCCCATTGTGAAAATTCTCACAGTATTGGGGTTTTGTATGATAAAAAATAATCATTGGGAGAAGTTAATGGATTAAGATTTAATTTGTACAGGAAAGACAAGGCATTAGGCTTTTGCAAAACTCTGGAAATCTGGGTTTGTTTTCATGCTCGTCTTCTGTGAAGATTTAGCAAAAATTTAAGGTCCTTTTTTGTTATCACTGAGCATCATTTGTAAATTATATGAAAATGTTTCATGAAAAATTTGAAATTACTATTTTTCTGTATTCTGTATTAATTTTAAATTTATTCTCCAGATGTATTTGAGGATTTCATCTCTCCTACCACTGCTGCCCAGACGCTCTTGTTTACAGCCTGTAGTAAGAGGAAAGAGGTAGGTTATTTAGTGTGTGGATAACTTCTTGTTTAATATTTAAAATATGTTCAGATATACACTTAGGGTGTTTTTTTTTTGTTGTTGTATTGAAGTATAGTTCATTTACAATGGTAATTTCTGCTATTCAACATAGTGATTCGGTTATTTGTACTTTCTTTTCCATATTCTTTTCCGTTACAGTTTATCACAGGATATTGAATATATTTCACCCTGCTATACAGTAGGACCTTGTTTATCCATTCTGTATATAATAGTTTGCATCTTCTAATCCCAAACTTTTAGTTCTTAATGGTTTCTTAAGATCATCTTGTCATCAATGTTTTAAAAGGATTTTTGGATATCCAGTAAAGCAGTACTTTTCTCTCTTAATCTAGGTACTACAAAAAACTATGGGATTTTGCTACCAGATTCTCACAGAACCAAATGCCGATCCTCGAAAAAAAGATGGAGCCCTGCATATGATTGGTTCTTTAGCTGAAATACTTCTGAAGGTGTGTGTGTGCGTGTGTGCGCACACGTGCATGCAATTAGTTTGGTTTAATAGTGGCAATTGAGATAAAACTGAATTGAGGTACAGTTCATATACCAGGGAACCCTGTGTAGCTCAGATGGGAAAGAATCTGCCTGCAGTGCAGGAGATCTGTGTTCGATCCCTGGGTGGGGAAGATACCCTGGAGAAGGGAATGGCAACCCAATCCATTATTCTTGCATGGAGAATTCCATGGAGAGACCATGGGATTGCAGAAAGTCGGACACAACTGAGCAATTTTCATATACCATGTGGTTTGTCCATTTAAAGTGTACAGTTTGATAGTTTTTCTTATAAAGAGTTGTGCCACCATCAACTCTTAATTCCAAAGAGTTTTAATCCCTAAAAGAAACTTTTAGAAGTTACTCCCCATTTTCTGCCAAATCTCCTAGCCCTAGCTGTAATCTCCTTTATGTCTCTGATACGGATTTTTCTGTTCTGGACATTTCATGTAAATGGAATGATAAAATATGTGGTGCTTACTGAGTGGCTTCTATGGCTTAGCATAGTTTCAGAGTTCATCCATGTTATGGCATGTGTAAGTCTATTGCCAAATAATATTCCATTGTATTGACATGCCACGTTTTATTTATTCTTTCATCAGTAAATGGACATTTGTTTCTACTTTTTGGTTATTATGAACAGTGGAGCTGTGAACATTTCTGTACACATTTTTGTGTCGATGGGCATTTTCATTTCTCTTATGTAATACATACCTGTGACTTGAATTGCTGATCATATGTTGGGAGACTGCTGGAATGTTTTCCAAAGTGGCTGTACCATTTTTTATATATTAATTAGCAGTGTGTGACGATTCCAGTGTCTGTGTCTTTATCAACTTTTGGCTATTGTCTTTTAAAGTTATAGCCATCCCAGTTGGTATCAAATGGTAATTTTATTGTGGTTTTAATTTACAGTTCCATCACGGCTAATGATACTGAGAATCTTTTTTTATGTTTATTGTCCAGTCTTCCTCTGAGAAATTTCTGTTCAAATCTTTTGTACATTTTAAATTGAGGTATTTATGTTTTTACTGTGATTTGTTAGAGTTCTGATATGTATGTACACATATATATGTATGTATTTTTTTTAATCTAATTTTTTTGGCCACACTGGGTGGCTTGTGGGATCTTAGTTCCCCAACTAGGAATCAAACCTGGGCCCTGGGCCGTGAAAGTGTAGAGTCCTAACCTCTGAACCACCAGGGAATTCCCTGTATATTCTAAATGCTGTGCTAGAAAGCTTTCAAATACAGTTGACCTCTGAACAACACAGGTTTGAACTGTTTTCGGGTCCGCTTAACATGTGGGTTTTTTTAAGTAGTAAATACTACAGTTGGTTGAATCTGCAAATGGAGTTGGTTAAATCCATAGATGCAGAATTACAGATATGCAGGGCTAATTGCAAATTTGGTGGCAGATTTTCAACTGCACAGAGTGTTGGTGTGCCACCCACCTCATTATTCAAAGGTCAGGTGTATATGATTTGCAAGTATTTTCTGCCATTCTATGGATTATCTTTAATCTTTTCACATTCTTGATGGTGTCCTTTAAGGTACAGTTTCTTATGATTTTGAAAGTGTCTTCTATATTTCTTTGTTATTGCTTGTGCTGAAGGTAATTCTTTTTGCATGAGTTATTTTCATCTCATATTGTATTAAATTGTAGTGTTTTTTTCTTCTCAGAAAATTGGTTTTGCCAGAATTTGTAAACCTGAATATATCCCTTCACAGCCTAGAAACATGTTTTTGTGACACATTTTTTGCTAAAGAATGAGTGATTGGATTAGATTTATGTTGAGAAACCTCACCTTGAACACATTTTGTCTGGTATTTGTGGAGTCAAGATCTGAAATTTATTTTCATTTTAAAGTTAATAAATGATAACTATATCCAAATGTACGTAAATAATTAGATACAGTTCATCCAGCTCCCAGAACCTTGGTCCATATGATGCTCCATTGACTTCATTAATTTGTGGGTATATTTTGTGTATCTTTGAGTTTTTCTACATCTGTTCGCTCATTCTTTTAGTTTCTAAAGGGTAAATTAAGTGGTTATTTCTTGTGTATAAGGCTGGGTATCTTGAGTAGGTTCTAATGGCACTTTGAAGTTTTTGTTTTAACTTTATAATTTTTAAATTTCATACGTAGAGAAAATTTCAAAAAATAATTCCCATTATTACCTTGAGAGCAGAATATTTCTCAATTTATGTTGTATTGTTCATGTAGGACCTTTCCAGAGAGGTTCTTTCATATAATAATTTTATAAGAGAAAAATGTTTTGTAAGATAAGGAATAAAATTAACCATTTTTCTATTACTTAAACACAACTGGTGTTAATGTTTAACATGATTGCTTTGTAAACAAACGATAAAAATTAAAAAATGTATAGTGATTTTGATGTTAATGTTTGAGAATAAGAAAATTGGATATGGGTCTTGGGGTTCAAAATTCCAGAATAAATATGTCTTGACATCATTAGTCATTTTAAGGATTTGTGTATCTGTTTGACATTTGAGATGATTATATTTGTTTATTTGTTATGTTTGTTTATTTTTACAGAAAAAGATCTATAAAGATCAGATGGAATACATGTTGCAGAACCATGTGTTCCCTCTCTTCAGCAGTGAGCTAGGCTACATGAGAGCCAGGGTATGTTTTAAAGCTGTATTGTTTTGTACATTTATGTCTTATAATGAATAACTGCTTATGTGGACTTTTATATGGAAGCTTTTAAATGTTCACTTTAAAACCCTATTTTATCCTAGACTTTTGTGTCTCTTTAAGTGGCTGCTCATAATGTGTGCATAGTTTTCATCTGTGTCTGATAGCAGCATCTGTCTGTGTTTTGCATTCAGATCTTGCTATCCACACAAACATCATGTAGCCAAAGAGTAAGTTGGGATCATAGTACTGGTCTAGTGTTGTCTCTTTTGACTTTATCTACCACTGGCCAGCCTCCAAATTCCCACACAAGAAATTTGGCACTAGAAATATTGTCACATGGTAGAATTTAATGTAAGAAACCTATAGTAACTCACTGCATTTTTTTTTTTTGAAGGCTTGCTGGGTCCTTCACTACTTTTGTGAAGTGAAGTTCAAAAGTGACCAGAACTTGCAAACAGCCCTAGAACTGACCCGAAGATGTCTGATTGATGATAGGGAAATGCCTGTTAAAGTGGAAGCTGCCATTGCACTTCAAGTGCTGATCAGCAATCAAGAGAAAGGTAAAAGATTTGTATATACAAGACATAGTCCTAGAACCTTGACACATTGTCTTCCTTTTTGTTTGAAGCTATTTCTTGTTTGCTCTTTGGTATATATTGATTCAGGTTTTAAGGAGTTTTAGCTGTTAGCACCAGAAGTTTTTTTCTCTTTCTCTTACAGCTAAAGAATATATCACACCATTCATTAGACCCGTCATGCAGGCTCTTCTTCACATTATAAGAGAAACAGAAAATGATGATCTTACCAATGTAATTCAGAAAATGATCTGCGAGTATAGTGAAGAAGTTACTCCTATTGCAGTAGAAATGACACAGCATTTGGTATGTTATTTGATCAGTAATGTATGCATTACTTAGATTACAGCAGGTATTTTCACAGAGCTTACTGTATATCAGGCACCATTCTAAGTCCTTGATACATATTTTAACTCATTTAATTCTCATACAGTCCTGTGTGAGGAATATTCCTATATCGAAAGAAAATGTGAGTTATAAAAAGGTTATTTAACTTGCCCAAGTTAGAAGGGGTGGGGCTGGGATTCACACCTGTGCTGTGTGCCTCTCCAGCACAGAGGTTTTGACATGTACTTACACTGCATCATGACTAACTTGTTTGTGTGGTTTCCTAGAAGGCTTTGCACCAACTTGAAATACTAGTTATAAGCAGATTTTTAAAGTTAAATTTTTTAAAATAGTTATTTTATATTTGAACTTTGTGTACAGTACATAGCCCTGAACTTCTGAGAATTAACAATGTAAATTATTTAACGGTAATAGAAAATATGGACATGTACCCAGCAGCTATCCATTCATATTCCCTATACAGTGATATATTTGGTGTAGTTTATAGTCTTGCTAAATATTAAGATTTGAAGAATCTGAGTCTTGTTATTTGCTGTGAACATTCTTAACAGCTGATACTGAATTGGGAAAGACATTTGAGTAAATATAGTTGGTGCTTAGTCGCCAAGTTGTGTCTGACTCTTGTGATCCATGGACTGTAGCCCACCAGGCTCCTCCATCCATGGGATTTCCTAGGCAAGAATACTGGAGTGGGTTGCTATTTCCCTCTCCAGGGGTTTTTCTCAGCCCAGGGATCGAACCCGCATCTCTTGTATTAATTGGCAGGTAGATTCTTTACCACTGAGCCTCTTGGGAAGTCCGAATAAATGCATTAGTGTATATTAAAATAACACAATGCATTTATAATAAGCTGATTATTAGCTGTGACTCCTCATAATTAATAACTTTCCTCAAAGTTATTATCTTCATTATCGTCATTATCATTATCTTCAAAATGATTGAATTCTGTGGCAACAGAAACCTTGGTGATTAGTATTTGATGATTAGTATTTGAGCATTGTCAAATGTTGAGCTGTGCTAAGTCAGTTTAGTTGTGTGTGACTCTTTGTGACTCCATAGACTGTAGCCCACCAGGCTCCTCTGTCCATGGAATTCTCCAGGCAAAAATACTGGAGTGGATTGCCATTTCCTTCTCCAGGGGATCTTGCCAACCAGGAATCAAACCCTCAGCTCTTAGTTCTCCTACATTGGCAGGCAGGCAGGTTCTTTACCAGTAGCACCACGTGGGAAGCCCCAAATGTCAGCCAGTAATACTAATGTTCATAATATTAAGCATTTTTTATGCCTTGCCTTATTTAATCCTCACAGTATCTCTATGAAAATGTCAGGAAAAAGAGGTCAAGTAGTCTTGTTTAAAGTGCCCCAGTAAGGGGTAGAGCAGTACCATTTACTATATAATATTAATTGATTTGGAAATGCCAATCAGTTGTGCTGTCTCAGTGAGAAAATTTTAAAAACTGTGTTTTAGACAAAAATATGTTTATACTGCTTTAAGGACAAAGCTTAAATTATATTCTTGTCAATGTAGGCAATGACTTTTAATCAAGTAATCCAGACTGGGCCAGATGAAGAAGGAAGTGATGATAAAGCAGTTACTGCTATGGGAATCCTGAATACCATCGACACGCTTCTTAGTGTAGTTGAAGATCATAAAGAAGTAAGACAATAATCCAGTGCTATAAAAGTTTTAGGGAATTTCAAGCCATTCTTCATCAGTTGTTCTGTGCTTTTGGGGGGCCTCTGATGTATATTCTTTGGTCATCTTCTCACATACCTTGATTTCTGCTATCTTTAACTAGTAGTACCCTTTTCATAGTACTTTATAAATATTTTAGAAGGAACAGGAGGGGAGGTATTTGTATTTTTGCCCCAAAGCTCTGAGTTTGGGGTTACCTTTCTCAGATCTAAAAGTATAGTGAGTCCTAGGAAAACTTATTCTTGCTAGTTTTCCTTTTTAATAAAAATTTTTTTTAGTTAGGGTATAATCCATATAACATATACCACCTTAACCATTTTTAGGTGTACACTGTATGTATTCCAAATGGATACCCTCCTTCTGTATCTGATAAGTACAATTTTATCTCATGTTTGTCTCCTTCCACTTTTTAACATTATGATGACTTTTAGGAATTTGGGATCCAATTGAGGATCATACTGACAAAGGGGAATTTGTATATTCTATCTTGTATGACTTGGGTGCCCTGCTCACTGTTAAATAAATGGAGCTGACTTAAAAATTACTGGGAGTGGTAGGATTAATGCCTTCTTTTAAATAATTTTTCAGTAAGCTATTGATTTGTATCTCAGTTAACTTATGTCTGGCTGAATTACACACAAGATTTTAGTCTCTGCAGAATGATGTGGCTCCATTTTTCTAGGAAATTTTTTTTTCTTTATAGTAAACTGTACTTGTTATTTCTTGTTTGTCTGATTGTAATAGTATTGCATTAAGTTTCATTCCCAGATTGATTCACAATTTTGAAACTCCATTTTGAAACAAAGGCTTAAAATAATTTGTTAAAAATATTGACTTTATATTTAAATGCACTGAATTATTATACATTATTTAATAATTCACTCAGTGTGCTGCAATTCCATATGATTTTTTTCTTTTTTAGATAACCCAGCAGCTTGAAGGAATCTGCTTACAGGTCATTGGAACTGTTTTACAGCAGCATGTCTTAGGTAGATACCTCTGATTATTCTAAGAATATCCTACTATTTCATATGAGCAAGCATTGTCCTAATGACTTGGTATTCTCTTTTAGAATTCTATGAGGAGATCTTCTCTTTAGCACACAGTTTGACATGTCAACAAGTGTCTCCACAGATGTGGCAGTTACTACCTCTGGTATTTGAGGTTTTTCAGCAAGATGGTTTTGATTACTTTACAGGTAGGTCAAATCATCATAGAGATACTTAGGGTTCCCCCTGTTTGTATTCAGTTTTAGTATATCACTTGAACACAAAGTTTTGCATATTCTTAAGTGCTTCCTTGTTTGGATAAGTTATCAGTAGTAATTAATGCTCAAAGATGACCCTAGCGTTGATTTCCATTATACATTTTGATTTAGTTATCACTTGAGATTTTTTCTTTAAAACACATATTCTTAAGTTCCTGTTTCCTGTCAGTCTTCTTTGTATAATCTTTAACATAATCTTTTATGTTTACTACATATGAAGGAATGTACTTTAATGATAGGCTCATTTTTACATGTAATTACAATTGAATAATTAAAAGTGAATGTTAGGGACAAAACATTAGGACTTGCTTCTTTTTCTTAGATTTTTCAGAAACACATCATTTATATTAGTAGAGATATTTAACTTACACTTTTTATTAATACAGATATGATGCCTCTGCTTCATAATTATGTAACAGTTGATACAGACACACTTCTATCTGATACCAAGTACCTTGAAATGATATACAGTATGTGCAAAAAGGTAGGTCACCCTAATACAAGAACATGTGAGGCTTGTGCTATAAAAAGTACAAAATTGTGAATAGACATGATACTACATTATGGTAAACATGATATCATATGAGTTTGACATAATAAGGGTTATTTAAAATTTAAAAGTCATCAACAAAGTGGCTTTGATTCCTGGATCTCTCATTGATGACTTTGACAAGTATTTATGTCTACCTTCTGGTATTTAATTAGAACTGCGTTTCTTGATTTTAGTGCCTGGACCTTATCTTAGCTTATTCTCTGCTAAGTTTTGAATCAAAAGAAGAAAAGACCAGAAATGATTAGCGATGTTTTATAAAGAACATTCTCAGACTCAAAGATACAGAAAACAAACTATTGGTTACCAGAGTGGGAGGGAGGGTATAAATTATGAGATTGGGATTAACAGATACAAACTACTATACATAAAATTAATAAACAGCAAGCTCCTACTGACGTTCAAATAAACAATAAACCATAATGGAAAATAATATGAAAAAGAACATGTATATGTATGTATGACTTCCCATGTAGATCAGTTGGTAAAGAATCCGCCTGCAATGCAGGAAACCCAGGTTTGATCCCTGGGTGGGGAAGATCTCCTGGAGAAGGAAATGGCAACCCACTCCAGTATTCTTGCCTGGAAAATCTCATGGACAGAGGAGCCTGACAGGCTACAGTCCATGGGGTTGCAAAGAGTTGGACATGACTTAGCAACTAAACCATACATATGTATAAGTGGATCAACTTTGCTCTCTACCAGAAACGAATGCTGCTGCTGCTGCTAAGTCAATTCAGTCGTGTCCGACTCTGTGCAACCCCATAGACAGCAGCCCACGAGGCTCCCCCATCCCTGGGATTCTCTAGGCAAGAACACTGGAGTGGGTTGCCATTTCCTTCTCCAATGCATGAAAGTGAAAAATTAAAGTGAAGTCGCTCAGTTGTGTCCGACTCTTAGTGACGCCATGGGCTGCAGCCCACCAGGCTCCTCCGTCCATGGGATTTTCCAGGCAAGAGTACTGGAGTGGGTTGCCATTGCCTTCTCCACCAGAAACGAATACAACATTGTAAATCAACTACTTCAATAAGGAAAAAAAAAAAAGGAACTCCTTGGAAGCTGTGGGTTTATGGTAGCTGTACAGTATTAGTAAATAGCAAAATTGTAAAATCTGAAGATTCATTTTTAAAAAGTCAAAAGTACTAGGCCATTTTTGGAAAATCATAAGATACATATACATGGTGAATGTTGCTTTTTTTTTCCTCTTAAGAAGTAGGAGATAAAATGATTGATTGGGGTCCTTTATTATCGAGTCAGTGTAATTGGTAACATGAGTTCCTTACATTATTTGATCAATTTTACAGACAACTCCAAATCCTTACAGTTCTTTAGACTGTAATCTGTGCAATCACTCATATTTATTTATAAAATTATCTTAAATACTTCAACAGTTACAGACTGATTAAAATGTTTTGAGACGCCTCCTTGCAGTTTATATTTTGTGTTGATCAGGTTCTTACAGGAGTTGCGGGAGAAGATGCAGAGTGTCATGCAGCAAAATTGCTAGAGGTTATCATTCTCCAGTGCAAAGGGCGTGGCATTGACCAGGTCAGTGAAGCCATTAATGATTCAGGTTGGAGGATTCAGAGAGGGAATTTTTTCCCTCCGCTTTTTGTTTTGGGGCATTTGTTATATATATATTTGGTATGTTGTTTATTATGACACCAAGATAACATGTTAAATTGTTTAAAATTTAACCAATATTTAATAGTGATCATATATTTAATATGTATGGAAATATACAAAATGATTACCACAATAAGGTTAGTCAGTAGGAATATTTTGAATCCATGATTGCTGTTGTGGTGGGGCTCTCCTATCTCAGTGAAGACTGGTTTTTCTCTAAAATTGGATTTCCCACTGAAATGCTTCAACAGTAAAAATTATTGGATCATTTAATGAAATAGGGTTTGGTTGAGGAAACCAGAAAATTAATATGGATAGGATAGTTAATGCCTGCTATTACTGACAGTTTTGAAATGTTTTGCTATTTTTCTCTGTAGTGTATTCCCTTATTTGTGGAAGCAGCTTTAGAGAGGCTGACAAGAGAGGTGAAGACAAGTGAACTTCGAACAATGTGCCTGCAAGTTGCCATTGCAGCTTTGTATTATAATCCACACCTACTTCTCAATACCTTAGAAAATCTTCGCTTCCCTAATAATGTTGAACCAGTTACAAACCATTTTATTACACAGTGGCTTAATGATGTTGATTGTTTCTTGGGGTAAGTGACATGTACTGGGTCTTTGTTTATATAACTTTGTGAGGAACTCTGCAAAATTTAAGGAAAGGAAGAAAATATGTATTTTATTTTTTCAGGCTTCATGACAGAAAGATGTGTGTTCTGGGCCTATGTGCTCTTATTGATATGGAACAAATACCACAAGTTTTAAATCAGGTTTCTGGACAGATTTTGCCAGCTTTTATTCTTTTATTTAATGGATTAAAAAGAGCTTATGCCTGCCATGCAGAACACGAGAATGACAGTGATGATGACGATGAAGCTGAAGATGATGATGAAACGGGTAAGGGATTTGCAATGTAGGAAGCTAGTCTCACTGCCTAGTTAGAAACATCACTGGACTCACTCCTTTAGCCTTTATTCTAATGAAATGTGGGATTATAGCCAAATATTTACATGTTCATTCATTCATAGACTCTAGAGTGTTAGGTCTATGAGGGCAGAACTTGCAGCTGTATCTCCATTACATAAAGCAGTTCTAGGTAAAAATGATTTTTGGTTTGGGGTTTTTAGTGTTTGTGAGCATCTAATACATTTCACCTGTGAGACACTACAGACCACAAGAATAAAAATAGATGTTAAGTTATTGTAATGGTTCCAAAATGATAATTGCCATTTTTGTCTTTTATCCTATATTATCATAGCCAGCCTTTAAAAAAAAAATCTTGTTAAAGGTATTCCTGTGGAAATAACAAACTGTTGCTTTGCTATTGGTATTTATTTGGTTTGGTAAATACCGTAAGGTTCAGAGCATGCCAAGTGCTGGTTCTCATTCAGTCCATTTTCCAACTTTAGAATCTATATATAATATTAGAATACTAGAATCTAGATTATTAACAGTTGTGGTTAGATTTCTGTGAGAATTTTTTCTACTTATTGCCAAACATGTATTTAAACACCAGTTCCTGGAACTCTCCCTTCTATTTATTCAGTTGTGATTTTCCAACAGTGATCATTGTCCGTGAGTTATAATGAGTAACAGAATACTTCAGAGTTAACAAGAGCACCTTTTTATGACTTGGCAGAGGAACTGGGCAGTGATGAAGATGATATTGATGAAGATGGACAAGAATATTTGGAGATTCTGGCTAAGCAAGCGGGTGAAGATGGAGATGAGGAAGATTGGGAAGAAGATGATGCTGAAGAAACTGCCCTGGAAGGCTATTCCACAATCATTGATGATGAAGATAACCCTGTTGATGAATATCAGATATTTAAAGCTATATTTCAGAGTAAGTTTACTTGTTCTGTGTAATTCAGATAGTTCCATATGACCCATTTTCCTGAATCAAAACTGTTCTTCTTTATGTCTGCCCCCTAAAGAAGAGACTGGGGTATATCAAACTCAAACTAGAACATGATTTAGGATTGTTAGGCAAAGTACCCAAAGTTACTTCTCCTTAGAGATCAGAGTATTTTCCTCATCCTGTTGTTTTACTTTTATTTAGATCATAATTTTGAAATAGGCACATCATAGGAAAATTGTATACTTCATTGTAGCCTCCCAGGTTTTCCCAGAAGTATCTGCCCTTATGTTTCTTCTGCTCATGTATTTGTGTGTATTTCTCCCCCTGGCTAAGCCTGTGCTTACTTACCTGAGAATTTGACCTTTTTTGTTCACATGTATAGTCTTGGGAATCTTTATTCTTTTCTCCTGCTTCACAGCGTGTGGCTATAGACTACTAGGTGCCAGTTTTTGTTTTTGATCATCATTTACTTGGATTTCAACAAAACACAACATCAGTATTCTTTTACCTAGCTTAAGAAATTTAAATTGACACTATATTTGAACCTCCTTTCCTTCCAGTTAACTACTTTGCTATTTTATCATTCCTATGCATTATTAATTTTGATGTAGGATAAATTCTCTGATAAGCAAAGCATTAATCTTCCAAGCCCACGACAAGGTTGCGGAAATGCAAGTAATTGTTTTGGGGCTATGTGGCAGGCTGTTAAAATTGATTGAAGTGCCAAGAAACGACTGGCTTTTGTCCTTGACTTGTATTTTGTATACTTAAACACATGTTAGTTCCTGAAGAATGGTTTATAATAGAAGGCTCATGCACAGTAAAGGCAGTACAGTAAAAGTAGAAGATCATGAGGAAATCAGTTTTCATTCTTGGGAATTACTCTGTAAAAAATTTCTATTTTGTGGAAAGCCTTTATAGAGAACATTTTCTCTCACTCACTCACCACACACACACACCCCCTTTCTGTAGCTAATTGAAACACAGGCGTATATAGACTTGTTACCTTTGTCTGTCAGCTTATCTGGTGTGTTTTCATTAAACAGTAAGATTTTTAACACCTGGTCTTGTGACATGCTGGGAAGTTTTGCTATTCCTTCTTACGGGTTGTGTTTGACCATTTAGACTATAATATAAAAATATGTGAGTATTTTTAAGTACTGCAGAGTACATTTCTATGGAAAGACTACATATATTTAAGAAAGATTTTTGAATAAGACATGCAGAAAAAAATAAGAATTTATTTTGTACCATTCATCTCTTTTTTAAGGTTTCTGGGTTTTGTGTTTTAATGTAGGAATTTGAGAATTATATCCAGAATGTGGGAATGTGTCCATTTTTAAGTTGCTTTAACTCTGAATCTTCTAAGGCGTTTGAGTTAACTTTATTTTTAGTTTCCCTACTTTGTTACTTGTTAGATAACAACTGATTTAGGCTCTTTAAGTTCTTATTTACTAAAGGTGAGGATTTTGAGTGTGATTAGGTATTTGAGGCATAATGCTAAACCAGAAATTTTTCCCCTGTATGTTTTTCTCACAAGCAATTTAAAATACTGTAGGTAATTATTGGGAAAATACAAACTAGATCAGAATTTCAGTACTGGAGGTAGAGTAGAGGGAACAGAATAGTAGAGAACTACCAGGACTCTTATTGCCCTTTTTTATCTTGTTTCCTTTTTGATAGCTATACAAAATCGTAATCCTGTGTGGTATCAGGCTCTGACTCATGGTCTTAATGAAGAACAAAGAAAACAGTTACAAGATATAGCAACTCTAGCTGATCAAAGAAGAGCAGCCCATGGTATGTTAATTGACCCTCTTTAATGCAATTAATAACTTTGATACAGCTTTAAAATTTAAATTAAGTGATTTTAAATTATGTAAGAGCTACAGTTGTTGGAAGTGATAAGAAATTCACTAATCTGTAGGAATGAGATAAAGAATTTTGGTTTTGGCCACAATTTCTTGATTTTAAGTGTAGTTGAAAGCTATAATAAGGTTGTTAAATTTCATGGGGCTGGTTCGATAGTGGAAAACTCTGAAAACTGCAGTTTCTTAAAAGTATATTAAAGACATACATCATTTCTTTTTATCAGTGAACATTTCATGCTTAACAATATATAAATGCTTTTCAGTATAGGATATTTTAGGTAATACACATTCTAACAGTTTTGTAGGTCTTAATAACTGTGAGTCAGACTAGTTTTATATTCAGAGAGGGTCCTCCTTCTTTCTGATGTATTTATATTTGAATTTGCTTGCAGTAAATTCATTAGCTGTTACTACCTTTGGAATTGGATCCTATTGATTCAGTATTTGACTAAAAATAGGGTATTTAAAGATTTTTCTTTTTAAACAATGGGAAGTGAAAATTGGCTGAGAAGTCTATAGCATACAACAGAGTTCATCTTCTCTACATATTACACACTTCTCTTCTTTACATATGGAGGGAGAACAGAGACCAAAGTTTGGAACTTCCTGGCTGATATTGGTGGTTAAGCTGTTGTTAATGTCTGTACTTTCAGGGATCATTTCTATAGTTTGTTAGTTCCTTCTATTCTGCAAAGTAATAAGCTAATCGATTGCTCTACCAAATGTTTACTTGTTTTTCTAGAATCCAAAATGATTGAGAAACATGGAGGATACAAATTCAGTGCTCCAGTCGTGCCAAGTTCTTTCAATTTTGGAGGCCCGGCCCCAGGGATGAATTGAGTTACCACTTTCCTTCCTGCAGTGTGGTTGTAGTGAAGAGCTTGCATTCCTCATAGTAGCGGTTCCAGAACTGGCTCATGTTATCTACTCTGAACTAATTGATCAATAGATGGACAAAGAAACCCCAGAAGGTGGGACTTGATCATGCAACTTGGCACTGAAAATGAAACCAGAGGGATTTTGGCCGGGGAGGGAGGTAACTTGGGGGGCTAGGGAGTATTTTCTTTATTTTTTGAAGAAAGTAAGGATTTGACTGAAAGTTCAAGTGACACTGTGGAAATCTACAACAGGAGGGGATGTCATGAAGGCAGCTTTTCTTTTTCTGAGGAAAAAATAGGCATGGGCTACAGGACTATTTAAAATGTCTCATTTACAGTATAAGCTCAAAGGTAGATGTAATTTTTACACCTATGAGTATTTGTCTGATTTCTGTCTCTCCTTCACCATTGGGTATCTATTCTTTATATGTAAATAAGATAAGGTAATCGATAGCCTTATTCAATCTTCATCATTTTCATTCATCAAAGATTGTTCCTATGTAGATTATTGGACATTTATTGTAGCACTACATAACTGATTAAAAAGAAAATCTGTAAATGAATTAGCACTTTCATATTGAAACAAGCCTGCTAGCCTATGTATAAAATAGCAAAATGTTTGCTGTTTATAAAAAGATGGGATGTAATGGGGTGGGGGGCAGGGGTAATTTCAAGTTATTAATTTAAAAATGAATTATCGATTTTGTACCTGGTGACTTTGTGGTGCACTCACCTCTGATAGTGACTTGAATTCGGTATGTTAAAAGGGGTTAGTGATATTTCATTGCTGCTAAAAATGGCAACTCCCTCTGTGTCCTGTTTTTTTCTTAAAGCTCTCAGTGTACAAGTGGATATTTGGGTACAAGACCTTACTGTAACAAAGAGGAAAGGTGATATTTGAAGCATGTAAATTGGATATAAAGTTCTACTCTTAAAGAGTTGATCAAAGAGTATGACTAAACATCTATATATGCAATCTATTAAAAGAACTTAATTCGGCTATTATGTCTTGATTTGATTGCAGTTTTTTTCTAATTATAAATTTTTTCCTCCATCTATTTTTATCCTATAACTAGAAAGAATAGGAAATGCACACTTTTAAAACTGACATTTAACACCTGCCCACCTCCCTTTCCCATCTCTGACCCTCTTGTTGATGCTGGTATCTGATAGGCTGAAGGCACAGGGTTCCCTCCAAAAACCACTGTTTATACCACTGCAAAAACAAGCCAGCAGCAAGACAACGTAGAGAGGTTGGCTAGCTTCCCTCTCTTCTAACTGCATGTTCAAAAATAAGCTTTTATTGATCTTGAACATCTGTCAGATGAGTCATACATTGGGTTATTTTTTTATATACAGTATACACACTATTTCAAATTGAAAGCAACATCTCAATGGATTCAAAACTATTGAGTGCTGTTGTCTATAACAGACTAGAAAATTTGTAAATGTAAAAATTAAACAAATGCACATATTATTTAAAATGCATAATGAAAACCCATTGGTGTTGTGTTTTTCTTGTATGCCAGTAATTAAGCCACTACCGTTGGCATTGTTTGGTTTTCTATTTTAACACTGAAGGAGTGAAAGTATTTCCTATATTTATGAATTTACTATGAAAATCTTGGCAAAAAAAGAAAAAAATGTTTGTCTGAAATGTGTGGGTGAAAATTGTTAATCAAGTGTGTTTCTACTTTTTCGCCCCAAGTTGAACACCATCTGTAAACCCTAGGTTGCTTCAGGGGATTTCATTATTATATAAAAGTCATAAAATTAAAATGGAGTAGTTGTATATATGCAACATTATGTACAGAGGGGAAGTGTTGAATAGTATTAAACATTTTCGTCTTCCTTTACCTTTTATCCCCTACCTAATATCTAGTCTACTTTTTTAAATTTCAAGTTTCACTGCTCTTTGAATTGATAATTTCAATTTTCACATTGTTATTGGAAACCATATTAATAAAGGTTTTAGTTATTCCCATGCACAGTATGAAAATTCTCGGTTGCTGAGGTTTTGTTTCAAGAAAATGTATTGGTATGTCTTTGAGATCAAGTTTTATTGTCTCCTCTGTCATACAATCCAAACTAATCTACATTTATGAAGTTTTGACTGAAATGAAAGACCTTAAAATTAAACTATATTTAATATTAAATATTGTTCAAATGGTAGTTTCTAATGCACCAAATATACCTCGATTATTTTCAGTATTTCCTTAAATATAACATCAAATTAGAGTTTCTTATAGATTATGAATCTTGATAATGTATCAGTGTTTTTAAATAAGGTTATAGGATTTTAGATAACTTTTTGAGAGTAGTATTTATAAACTTGTAATTAGTTGCATGTGGATTTTATTTATTTCTTCAACATACAGAGTTTCCCACAGTTTCACTAATCTATAACTTATTTTTTAATTTATACAAGTTAATTCTGATTTTGTTTGGGTTTCAGTATGTCTTTTTTAATGGCTGACATTAGCATAAAATCTTCACTTTTTTGTAAACCTAAGCCATCCATTTTTATAGAAGCTATTCATTTATCAGTATTAAATAAAAGATGTTAATCTGTTTCTCTGCAGGTAACAGAATGGTGATTACTAATCTACATGTCTTACCAGGATAATGACTGCTACGTTCACCTCTGGAAGAGACCAGAGTGTAGAGCAGGGGTGGCCATACCATAGCAGTGTGGCTGTATTCAGTCCCAGATATAGTCCCTGAAGCAAGCATTTAGGAAAAGTTATTAGGAATTATATTAATATACACCATGTCTTTGGGAGGATCTAGCACAATGACTTAAGCATAGTGGGCATTCCATAAGTGTTTGTGAAATAAATGACCTAAAACTACATTAAAACCTTGGTTATAAAAATGTTAGTTCTGGTCTGTGTAATTTTAAGTTTTGGTGAATGTTGATCCCTTCTGAAGTTGAGTTTAACAGTTGATGAGGTTGGCCCCCCTTGCAATAATAGCACTTTACGTCGGTTTTTACAAACAGAAACTAGATAATACAGCTAGAAATCCAGAATTTCTATGAGAGAAATATCTTTTAAGTAACTTTTTGAGAGGTAATTCCCCTCTAGTTTTTTTTAAAAGCATGGGTGATAGATAGAAATTTGTCAATTATACTTGGTATCTGAATCCTACATTTAAGTGCTTCCTACCAGAATCTTTTTTAAAAGTCCCTTTTAACATCCTTTAAATAAACTCAAAAAGGAATTTCCTCAATCTGAAAGAAAGATAAAATGAATGGACTTAATAATGAAAGAGTAAAAACCCTTCCCCCTAAGATAAAAAATGCCTCCTGTTGCCACTTATTTTTGGCATTGTATATAGGATTTTGTTCATTGTTGTTGTTGAGGTGCTACTGTGTCCAACTCTGATCCCATGATCTGCAGAACACTAGACTCCTTTGTCCTCCACTTTCTTCCCAAGTTTGCTCAAATTCATGTCCATTGAGTCAGTGATGCTATCTAACCATTTCATCCTCTCCTTTTGCCTTCAATCTTTCAATAAGGGTTTAGCCAGGGCAGTTAGGCAGGAAGAAATAAGACATCCAGTGGGAAAGGAAGAAGTGAAATGTATTCTCAGATGACTCATGTCACAGAAAACCCTGAAGAATCCACAAAGAGCTAATGACTTGTTGGCAAGGCATAAGATTATTATACAAAAAATCAGTTGTATTTCTATACAGCAGCAGTGAAATTAAAATTACATTTACAGTATTGTTAAGTCACTAAATTGTGTTAGACTCTTGCCACCCCATGGACTGTAAACCTCAGTCAATAGTTCCCAGGCAAGCATACTGCAGTGCAATGGGCTGTCATTTCCTTCTCCAGGGGATCTTCCCAACACAGGAATTGAAGTCTGCTGCTTGGCTGGCAGGTTCTTTACCACTGAGCCACCGCCTAGTAAGAAGAGATTCCACCCCTCCTCCTCTTTTTTTTGCTGTAACTTCTGGCTTCTGGGATTTTAGTTCCCCAATCAGGGATTGAACACATGCCCTTACCAGTTAAAGCACAGAGTCCTAACCACTGACCACCAGGGAATTCCCAAGGATAGATACCTTCTACTGACCAAAGGAATAAAATTGAGTGTCTAGAAATAAACCTTTAAGTTTATGGTCAATTGATTTTCAACAGGGGTTCCTAGGGGGCTTCCCTCATAGCTCAGTGGTAATGAATCCACCTGCAATGCAGGAGACCCTGGTTCTATTCTTGGGTGGGGAAGATCTGATGGAGAAGGGATAGGCTACCCACTCCAGTATTCTTGGGCTTCCCTTGTGGCCTAGCCAGTAAAGAATCCACCTCCAATTCGATCCCTGGGTTGGGAAGATCTGCTGGAGAAGGGGAAGCCTACCCACTCCAGTATTCTGGCCTGGAGTATTTCATGGGGTTGCAAAGAGTCGTTCACGACTAAGCAACTTTCATATTCCTAGGTGGCACTAGCGGTAAAGTGTCCACCTGCCAATGCAGGAGACATAGGAAACTGAACCTATCTCTGGTTTGAGAAGATCCCCTGGAGGAGGGAATGGCAACCCGCTGCAGTATTCTTGATGGGGAATACTATGGACAGAGGTGCCTGGTGCGCTATAGTCCATAGGATCACAAACAATTGGACATGACTGAAGTCACTTAGCACATACTTATGCACAATTTTTAACAAGGGTCCCAAAACCAATGTAGGAAAGAATCTTAAAAATGGCTCTGAGACAGCTGGGCATATTCTTAGGAAAAAATACAGGTGTAAATTGTGACTGAACTAGTTAAGTTTCTTGGCTATAACAGCAAAGACCAAGAAACAAAAACATGATTTAGATTTCATCAAAACTTTGTGCTTCAAAGGTTACTTTGGAAAAGTGAAAAGACTGCAGAGGATGGGAAAAAATATCTGCTAATCTTGAGTATATTCAGAACTCAACAAGAAAAACCCCAATTTAAAAACAGTGAAGAATCCAAT